CCGAAATCCCTAACCCTAGAAAATGGAAATGGCACTCTCTAGTAACATATCTATAACCGGATAAGGTTTTGGGTTACGGTTAAGGTTCTCCCCAGCTAAATGTTCGGGTTTCGGTTGGTGACAAAGCATAATAACATGATATTAGTAATAAAGTTACGTTTGTTTTATCCATTAAGCCAAAACTAAGATGATGTAGCATTTGCACTGTAGTTCTCCAAATACCCATGTCTGTGTATCCATGTCTTTACGTCTTCTTCATCTCTACAACACATCAGTTCATCAAATAACTTCTTAAATGTTTCGTATCTCTTCATAGCCATGTTTGTATTCGCATGCTCCAGTGTATCATAACGGGAACATGCGCTCTAAGCTCAAAATAAGTTTATCAACATCATACAAGCACAATTCGTTTCGAGTCGTTCTTCTAATACTTCCCCTTAGTGTATAGTCTTTTCGCATGTATAGCACTAAGAAACAAAGCCATGGATATTACCAGGGATATTTTCTTTAGCGACAATTCGTATTATAGAGTGCAATGGAAATACTTGTTTTTTACCCTACTTTCCCTGATGTAGTTCGCTAACTCGCGAGGTGAGACGACATAAGCCGACTACCTTGTATGTTCCTGCGGCCCCTCTCCCCATGTCCCCTGTCCCCTTTGTCACAGTCCCGTTCCTTTGTTGCCGTGTCCCCCTATCCCTGCTGCCCTGTCCCCTTTGTGTCCCCAGTCCGGTCCCTTGTCCCCTGGTCCCCTTGTCCCCCTGTCCCCTTCTCCCCTTGTCCCCGTGCTGTCCCTGTGCCCCCTTGTCCCTTGTCCCGTCCCCCTGTCCCCTTGTCTCCTTGTCCCTGTGCTGTCCCCGTGTCTTGTCCCCTTTGTGTTCCCATCACCTTTTCCCCTTGTCCCCTTCTCCGCCGTGCTGTCCCCGTGTCCCCTTGTCCCCCTGTCCCCTGTCCCCTTGTCCCCTTGTCCCTGTGCTGTCCCCGTGTCCCCTTGAAAATGTCCCCCTTGTCCCCCTCCCCTTATCCTCTTGTTCTGGCCTGTCCCCTTTGTTGCCGTGTTTTCTCCGTGTCCCCTTGTCCCCTTTGTCCCCTTTTTCCCTTGTCTCATTGTCCCTCTGTCCCTCTGTCTCCCTGCCGCCTTGTCCCCGTGCTGTCGCCGTGTCCCCTCGTCTCCTTGTTGATGTCCCCTTGTCCGCGTGCTGTCCCCTTGTCCCCGTGTCCCTTGTCCCCTTGTCCCCTTGTCCCCTGGTCCCCTTTGTGTTGGTGTCTCCTTGTCGCCGTGCCCCCTTGTCCCCTTGTGTCCCCTTGTTCCCGGGTTGTCCCTGTGTGCCTTGTCCCCCTGTCCTGTTGTGTTCGTGTCCCCTTGTCCCCGTGTTCCCCTTGTCTTTTTCTGTGTCGCTGTTGCCTTGTCCCCTTTGTCCCTGTGTCCCTGTCCCCAGTCCTGTCCCGTCGTCCCCGTGTCCCCTTTCGCCCCTCTTTGACCCCAGGCCCTGTCCCCTTCCCTTCTTCTCTTCCCTGTCGCTGCTGCCTTACACCCTTTCCCTGTCAGCGTGGGGCCTGTCCCCACAGTCCCCTTTCTCCTTTTCTCCGAGACCCTGTGTCCCTGTCCCCGCGTTGCCTTGTTCCCTTTGTTTGCGTGTCCCGCTGCATTTTGTTTCCTAGTCCCCGGCCCTTTTTGCGTCCTACATTTTTCCACAGCGGCAAAGGCAGCGGCAAGACCACCGCGACCGATCCGCGTACCGAGCGTTGATCTTGGGGGCGGCTCCACAGGTCCACGTACCGCGCGTTGGTCTTGTCCGGCGG